AGAGGACGTGAAACTTTGATGAATTTACCTCAGAGTCGCGTGTTAATGCGTGCGCCTATTTTGAAGGGGAATTAAAAATGGCGTCCACCCCGCGGCGAATCGCTACCCGTTGCCAGGGGCAACCGCCGTCCAATGAAACTGCATATAGTCCGGCGACCCACAGACAGACAGACAGATTCGCGATTTTATATATATAGATTAATATTTGTTTACTTATTTATATAAATATTCATCTACTTGTTAATATAACAATTTATCTACTTATTAATATAACTATTTATTTACTTATTTATAGAACAATTTATTGACTTATTAATTCAAATATTTATTTACTTATTTATATAACTATTTAGCTACTTATATAACTATGTAATTACTTATTTATATAGCTATTTACTTGCCATAATAGAGGGGTTTTGTTTTGAGGAGGAGGGGGGTAGTGGGGGGGGTTAGATCGAGTAAATAAATATACGTGTGTCGTTAAACCCGCCATGTGCATGCATAATGCATCTCGATTACCCAATAAATAACCCAGCCGGTTATATATATACCCATTGTCATTTATATGCGCAACGTTAACTACCTCCCTGCAGATCTTCGTAAGTGTTCGGGCTCAAAATAACGACGACGTCACAATCACCCCCTTCTGTCTAAGAGCGAAGCAGCAGGCGGATTTCTCCACAACCCCGTGACTGTCCGCCCGGTGATACCGCTCGTAATGACCGACGGAAAACGTCGCGCTCGAATTACGAACGTCGTGAATGGCTTTTACTCTCCAACGCGCAAACCAGGTGTTGCTGAACTGGTCACGAATTGCCACGTGTTTATGTTCACGTGGTAAACCTTAGTAATTGGCTGTGTCGGGTGGTGGCGGGTTTAACGACGCATTCATATCGACGCGATCTAACCCAGAAACCTTTATCATGGATATAATATTGGTCGCGAAAGCCGAACTTGTTAAACTATGTATTATACTATGTATTATGCTTATATATTTTTAGAGCACCTACCCGCAAAAACGGCCTGCGCAGGCTACACGGGAAATTTTATCTTTTCTTTGTTTGTGGTGTCCGTGGTCTCAGTATCTCTCTTTGTCTACATGTGTGCGGCATGTGCGTGTCGTCGTGTCTCAGGATACGCGCGTGTGTGTGTGTCTGTAGTGTAGCGGGTAGCACGCTGCGCTACGAACCCGGGTTCGATTCCCGGACAACACCGATGACGATTATCTAAACCGGTGCTGGGCCTCGCCTAGGTCGACTCAGCCTCAAACGAGTACCAGGTGCGGTGTGTAAACATCGCCACTGGGGAGATAAAGGCGGCCGGGCGTGTTACTGGCCACCCACCCCCTCGTGTCACGTGCCGGCCTTCATAGGTGCTCGCTAACAGCACTTGCCCCGAAAAGTATCTTGAGGCTATACGGGGGGGGGGGGGATCTTTGTCTTTGCACGGGATGATCATTGTCTTGCGTTTGTTTGCGCGTGCGTCTGTGCATCTATTTGTCCGTGCCTCTGTGTGTGCGGCACGTCTGTGAGTTCACGTGTCCGCGCGTGCGTGCGCGTGTGTGCGCACGCGTGTTCGTGCCTGCCCGCGCGCGTGCGTGCGCGTGTCTGTGTGTCAGGGCCATCCATCATCGCGCTCTCCGCAGTGCCGTTGGCCGCCTACGTGGGCTGCATGCATCATCCTCCTGCCTTCGAAAGCGAGCGAGCAGGCGAGGGGGAGCGAGCGCTGAGGACGGCGCCGATTGCGTAATATTTCTGCCCGCTTGTCATAATCAGCCGCACAATTTACTTCCCAGGGTCCGCGCGGAAGGGGGCTGGAGGGATGTCGTTTCATCCGAGAAGATTCATATACCCCGGAATACTCAATCCGTTATCAACATGCTCGCTCGGGGTCTTAGGCGTTGTGCAATCGCGTGCGTTGCGTTTGTTCACGTTCCCGATTGGAAGCGGGCGGGTCACGTGAGCCACCTTGGATGAATTTGCATATTTGTGCACGTGCTTTTTTAATGACGGAAAGCTGTGTTTGAAGAATGGAGACATTAATCACCCCCCCGCCCCCTCTTTCTCTCTCTTGCCACAGCTATAGTCCAATTGGTGCTGCTGCTGTGAATGCCGTGTGAATGATAAGAGCGAGCAGTGCACTACCTTGTAAGCAAGACGAAGTCGCAGAGGTTTACTTTATGACGTCACTTCGACAGGTCTCGTATCCCACGACCAAGCAAGCCTGACTCTTGCCGATGAGACACTGACTATCGAATCCGGTTCAGAATTTTTTAGCTTGCGCTGAACAATTGCCGTCGAAATGATGCACTCCCAGAAGGCCCCGCGTGGCTGGCTGATGGGATGTGTAATAAATATAAATATATATATAATTCACTGGTCAACACACTTTTTCTGGCACAAGGCATTCCAACGGGTTTAATGTAATTTTGGGGTGCTGATTCCAAATCTGGCATCAGTTTTTGTCTATCACGTCAGGTTTTTGAGATATCAATAAAAACTGCAGAAGAAAAATATTAAATAAATGTGGATATCTACATAAAATGATATTATAAACACACTATCCTAAAAATACAGCGCCATATTTTAACACTAAAGCAGTCACTGACTCGCAACAACTTGCAATCATAAGTGACAGAGTTAATTTCGGGTAAAATCAATGAAAATTTGGTATGCCGATAGCATAAAAATGAGATGTGATAGAGCAAATCTGAGATCAGATTTGGAATCAGCACCCTGAAATTAGTCAGCTGCAAAAGTCCAGGCCAGAAAAAATGATTTTTTTTGTTTGTTGACCAGTGTTACTTTTTTGAATGTGCACAGTGGACAGATTCAGAAGTAAACGTCGTACGGGGCCACGTGTTCACGTTGTACTCACGAGGTGACTAAGGTTGTTCCTCACCTGTCAATCACACCAACACGTTTAATTCTTAGAGCTGGAATACATCCACATTACGTGAAACAGCAAATTCGATGCGATGGGGTTCTTTGTGTAGTTACAGCTCAGACTGCGCGAATCTGCGGAGCTCGTGTGTGAGTCTGTGGGTCTCTGCGTGAGTCTGTGGGTCTCTGCGTGAGTCTGTGGCTCTCTGCGTGAGTATGTGGGTCTCTGTGTGAGTCTGTGGGTCTCTGTGTGAGTCTGTGGGTCTCTGCGTGAGTCTGTGGCTCTCTGCGTGAGTCTGTGGGTCTCTATGTGAGTCTGTGGGTCTCTGCGTGAGTCTGTGGCTCTCTGCGTGAGTCTGTGGGTCTCTGTGTGAGTCTGTGGGTCTCTGTGTGAGTATGTCGGTCTTTTGCGTGAGTCTGTGGCTCTTTGTGTGAGTCTGTGGGTCTCTGCGTGAGTCTCTGGGCCTCTGCGTGAGTCTGTGGGTCTCTGCGTGAGTCTACGTGTCTCTGTGTGAGTCTGTAGGTCTCTGTGTGAGTCCGTGGATCTCTGCGTGAGTCTGTGGGTCTCTGCGTGAGTCTCTGGGTCTCTGCGTGAGTCTGTGGGTCTCTGCGTGAGTCTGTGAGTCTCTGTGTGAGTCTACGGGTCGCTGTGTGAGTCTGTGGGTCTATGTGTGGGTCTGTGGATCTCGTTGTGAGTCTGTGGGTCGATGTGTGGGTCTGTGTGTCTATGTGTGGGTCTGTGGATCTCTGTGTGAGTCTATGGATCTCTCTGTGAGTCTACGGGTCTCTGTGTGAGTCTGTGGGTCGATGTGTGGGTCTGTGGGTCTATGTGTGGGTCTCTGTGTGAGTCTGTGGGTGTCTGTGTGGGTCTGTGGATATCGTTGTGAGTCTGTGGGTCTCTGTGTAAGTCTGGTGACCAGGCTGAGACCATGAACTCGCTATACTTGAGAACCCAGTCATAGGTAGTGGCTGAGACCCGGAGTTGAACCCAGGCTCTCAGGGGTGCCGGCTCAGTGTCACTTGCATGGCTTCTCCCAGTTCCTCTTAAGACGGAATCGTTAAACGTTCCTGCAGTTAACACTCCGTCGTCATCATCATGGGTCATTGTCAATCCACTGCTGGATGAAGGCCTCCTCCCCAAGCAGTCCCCACCTCTCACGATCCATCCAGCACCCGCACGTACATTGTACGTTGAACTTCTTTCGCACCGTACGTAGCCCACCGTGCTAATCGGAAACATCGCGGGTGGGGGAAGGGCAACAATTAAAGACACTAAGAGAGGTTCTAGAGAAATTCGTTTTTTCGTCGAGATTTTCAATCCACATCACTCGCAATGCGCCATCCAGGTGCTCGGCGCGGATTTTATGGAAGACGCAAACGCGCGTGCCACCAACTTCCTGAAGAAGTGCATTGTGGTCCCATTGTCTTCCGAGCCGTCCGTCACAATACGCCCGAGCGAATGCGACCGCCTGATTGGTAGCAGCAACAGCAGCGGCGGCGGCGGTGACCCAGAGATAGACAAGCGTGGGGCTGGTTTCGTCCTTTCTCAAACTCAGAGCGGTCACCAATGGCTCACTGCTGCGCAGTCTGCCTCTGGAATTCCACAGCGCGCGGAGTCCCCGATGACCACACCGCGTGTCCCGTCATGGTGGTCGTGGCGGCGTGGGTAGAGCACCCCCTCCACCCCCCCACACAATGAGCCGCTACCACCTGCCCATTGTTCGCCGATGATCACCAACGAGGGCGAATCGCTCGAGTCTGTCGGCTGCAAAAAAAAAGTTTAATCCGCATTTTCTCCTGCTGCGAGAGACGTCCACTGAAATTGTCGCGTGCGTGCGGTGCCGCTCGCTGGAGATGAGCCGTGTCTGGAGTTTGCCGCAGATTTCTCCGTATTGTTGGCACAGCTCGAATAACGCGCGTTCGATGCGCTCGCGCGCGCGCTCACGTGCATTGTGCGGGTCGCGCGCGCGCACGTGTTTTGTGCGGGTCGCGCGCGCGCACGTGTGTTGTGCGGGTCGCGCGCGCGCACGTGTTTTGTGCGGGTCGCGCGCGCTCACGTGCGTTGTGCGGGTCGCGCGCGCGCACGTGTGTTGTGCGGGTCGCGCGCGCGCTCACGTACGTTGTGCGGGTCGCGCGCGCGCACGTGCGTTGTGCGGGTCGCGCGCGCGACCTGATCCGAGGAGTTTCCTTGAAGTCGTCGTTTGTCAGGCAGCGGCATGTCGTGCCGAGTGAGCCGCTCTCGTTAGCGGGGTTTACGTTTTCCCTTCTGGAGGGGGGAGCCGTTTCTTTCGGCTGTTTATTTATCTCAGCGGTTCCTGTGTCTCGGGCTCGTTATATTTTTACACTACAAAAAAATAGCAGTGTCGACTTGCGAGGCTGCGCCTCCGCCGACGCACAGTGTCCGCTCATCGCTCTCGTAGAGAGGGAGGGAGAATGACTCAGAGAGGGAGAGAGGACGACTCAGAGATAGGGGGACGACTCAGATAGGGAGAGAGGACGACTCAGAGAGAGAGGGGACGACTCAGAGAGGGAGAGAGGACGACTCAGAGAGAGGACGACTCAGAGAGAGGACGGCTCAGAGAGGGAGAGAGGACGATTCAGAGAGAGAGGGAATGACTCGGAGAGAGAGGACAACTCAGAGAGAGGACGACTCAGATAGGGAGAGAGGACGACTCAGAGAGAGAGGGAATGACTCAGAGAGGGAGAAAGGACGACTCAGAGAGAGGACGACTCAGAGAAAGGACGACTCAGAGAGAGGACGGCTCAGAGAGGGAGAGAGGACGACTCAGAGAGAGAACGATTCAGAGAGGGAGAGAGGACGACTCGGAGGAACCAGGAGGCGGATCCACAGACGAGGAGTGGGAAAGCAGCAGCAGTAACAGCCAAGGCGGTGAGCCGTCACCACCACCACCTCCCAGGATGGGTGGTGGTGGTGTGGGTGGGGAAACAAAAAGTCTGGACGCGTTGCATCGAGTGAAGGCTGCGCTGTCACCTCTGGCGAGGTGCTGGGTTTCTGATTAGAAGCTCGGGGGGCATGGGTGAGGTGGTGGTGGGTGGGGGGGGGGAGTGATATGATCACTTTTATATATATTAAAAAAATATTGTGTTATTATCCAGCTCGTCGTTTGAAGGATAACAACACTAACGATAAGCTGTTCCCCCACCACCACCACCAAAAAAATATATTCCTAATCTGTGTGTGAGTCTCTAAAGCACCCGAGGGATGCCCCACACAGTGGCGGCCGTATAAACGGTTAGCAAGCGGCAGCAGCGGCAGCAGCAGCATCGGAGTGGCAGTGGAATAAAATAAGTAATATTGGAAAAAAACTTGTTTGTAAACACGCTTTTATGAAATGTGCGAGTAATGGCAGAACTCCACGACTCTAGGAAGTGGCTCCGAAGCTTGCCATGACGTAAGGGGACCGTGGCCAATTACAGCCAACGTGAGTTTACCGTGGACAATTAGACCCAAGCCGAAACATAACATATAAAAAATAATGTTTAACAAAAAATACAGTAAAACCTTGGATTGCGAGTAACTTGGTCTGCGAGTGTTTTGCAAGACGAGCAAATTTTTTAAATTATTATTTGATAAACGAGCGAGGTCTTGCAATACGAGTAGTACGTGTATACGCTTTGTCTGCCGAGCGTCACGTGATCACAACTGATTTACGAGTGCTTTGATATACGAGTGCTTTGGATTACAAACACGTTTCCGGAACGAATTACGCTCGCAATCCAAGGCTTTACTGTATATATTTTTAATGATAGAATATAGTATTGTCATCAGTATGGCATAAGTATACCAAGTTTGCAGTCGATACCACATTGGTAAGTGGGTTAAAATTGACTTACAAGATTTGAGGATACAACAACAACAGACAGAGTGAGTTAATAGAAAGCGTGCAATAATAACAACGGTGCGAAATTGTCAAACTCCTGCCCTCTCCTCACACAGGGCAGGGCGTGCGATCGGCGGAGACGCCTGGAAGATTGGGCCAAATAATACCGTCAATCTTGATTTGAAGCTTTCGTGACTGCAGGAATCCAATCTCTTTGGTTCTTTCGGTAAAGTCACGTGGGTAGAAAATAAAATAAATCACGACGTTTCGGGCGCAACACAAGCGTCCGTCATCAGTTGGGAAAGCATGCTTTTAATTAACGGATTGCCCACCTGGATGACGGACGCTTGTGTTGCGCCCGAAACGTCGTGATTTATTTTCTACCTATGTGACTTTACCGAAAGAACCAAAAAGTATAAAACATATACCGTCGTGTAGAGGGGGGGGGGCTCTCTGGAGCTCCCTCTGAGCGAGAGGGGTCCCCTTCCGCCAGCAGTGAGCGTGAGCGAGCGGTTGCAGGGCTGCGCCCTTAGCTTCAAGCGCCGTGGTCTGAACTCGTGCGCACGCGTCAGCGGACCGCGTGTGTTGTGAAGGTGGTTTATCATCAAGTAAATTAACGGCGTTTGTTACATTTTTCTGCTCTTTTTGGCGTGCGCGAAGATTTGACCCAAGATCAAACGAAATTGTGAATCGTGAATACGCTGGGTCGCGAAAGCCCAGCGTGCAAACATTTAAATCTACAATTCTTTGCAATCGGAAGCGTCTCAGTGACCACAGCTGTGTCGTGAAAATCGTGCAGAGTTCCTCGTCCATGGGCCCAGACCAATTGGTACCATATTGGGTGGAAAAGTCTAATAATGATTTTTGTAATCCTCCATGTATGTGGGACATATTCTGATATGACAACCTTTGCGGAATGGCAGCTTTGTCGTAATTACCATGACTTTTATACTCATACCCGTGATTGCGATAGGTGCAAAAACAGGCTTCCTGCGAGAAAAAATTAAACAGCTGCTCATTTGAGAAGGTTATCACGTATTAATTAACTTCTGTTGGTGCAACAAATCAAATGGCACCATTGAAGTTTTGCCACTTTGGGTGATACCCAAGGGCGGCTATACGCCGGACCTGACGGACTGACGGATGGAGAGAGCCACTGACATCGTCGCACTTAAGAGCATTAACAAATATCACGCAACACGCGGTGGGGCTTTAGCGACCAATACCATTCATAATAAAGGTTTCTGGGTTAGATCGCGAATGTATAAATGTGTCGTAACCCTCCACGAGCCGACGCAGCCAGCGAGGTTTGTCACGTAAACTAAACGTGCCAATTAGTTACTACTTCAGCCCACCGGTGCGTTGGAAATGTACAAATTGTAAACGTTGTGGATTTACTCTCCAACACAACGCTGGGCCGAAGCAGCAACTCACTGCCACGTTTTCTTTACGTGACAAACCTTACCGGCTGTCTCGGGTGGTGGAGGGTTACGACGGATTTATACTTACGCGATCCAAACCCACCCCCCCTCACCCCCCTCCAAAAAAAATATCTTTACGATGAAAAATCACCGAGGCAAGCGCGGAGCGTTCGCTGGAGGTGCCTCGTGCGCCGTTCAGCCGGCCCTGCCACCGTCCCACGGGGCGCGGATATTTCCACCCCCCCCCGCTGCCCCCCCCCCTCCGCCCCCACTCCCCCCCACCTCCCACCGCCCCCCACCGTCACCCCCCCCATCCTCGGCGCCAGTAACGACTGCGGGTGTGAAGTAGACTTTTTTTTCTCTGCAGCGCTTTGTCAAAATAGCCACGGGGAGTTAATGACTGCGGGCTCCAAATCTGCTCGGAGCATTCGCTCTGTTGAAAGAAATTGTGGGGGGAGGAGGAAAGGGGTTGGGGGGGGTGGGGGGATTAAAACCCACCGTGTTATTTTATTCACTTCGGTCAGGAGGGCTTTGGCTTTTGGCTGAAGTGTAAATTACCACCGACGAATCTCCTCTTTAGCAGTCACCGGCTCTGCAATCGTCATCGTCGTCGCCATCATCGTCAGCCACGGTCTATTCGCTGCTCACTGAAGGGTCTCCCAAAGCCGTCGCCATCCCCGTCTCGGTCCATCTGACTCTGGCACGCCGCGCCGATTTTCGTCGCGGTGAAAATCTTTCGGCACGTGAGTTCGAATCGCCGCGTTGCACCTTACGGGCAACGCGCCACACCAGCGCACATCAACGTTAGTTTCTGACCGCGCGTCACCGTTCTGCAAAAACAAGGCGATCAGATATGGAATTTACATGTGTGGAAAAACACGCGCTATTTGGCCAATAACACCTAAGCATGCAGAGGACTGCAGAGCGTGGGAAATTCTTGGTACCTCCCTGGCTTCTCACCCGTGCTGTTGCTGTTGCTGTCTTCCCATTCGTCCGTGGTTCCTCCTCCACCTCGACCTACGGAGTTGTGGTAGCGTCACGTTACAAGTTCAAATTGCCACAAATTAAATCACATCACGACATCTACCCATATAACCGGGCTGGAAAGCAACATTAAATATTCACATGACAAGCGAAATTAAAACCATAGGCTACATTGTAAAAAAAAATAGAATCTGGAAAATATTACCCCGAGTGTGGATTACGAGCGATGGAATAGTTTGGCGGTTTGGTGACTGCCACTCAATGTGAGCTTAATCGTGTAGATTGTCACTCGTGGGTGCTCAGCGCGGCCCGGTTAAACTTAGCTCGCCCCCTTTGACTCAATTCGCCTTCACGCGTCCATTAACGAAGAAGCCGTTCGCCCCTTGCAGTCGCTTGGCATGGTGGCGCCGGTCCAAAAAAAGTTTGCCAATTTCAAACTTCTTAAATCACCCCATGCCTAATGCTGCCCCTGTCCACCCAGCAAAATAATTGGGTGACACCGCAGTTTAGTTGGGGGCGCCGTGGTGACGAGATGTTAACTATCTCGGCTGGTATTACAGGAGCTCGTAGGTTCGATCCCGACCCTGACGCCTGCTGTATATTTGGAGTTTGTGCGTCTCTTTCTCTCTTCGTGGTTGCGTGGATTTTTCTCCAAGTCCTTCGGGTTTTCCCTCTACAATTACAGTCAACAGCACGCGTTTAGAGTATTTGGCAGCTATAAATGTCCACGTGATAAACAACTTCTTTGGGCTATCATTTGTTGCCAGGTCGCTTCTGAAAAAGAGCTACGTAGCTCAGTGGGCCTCACCTGGTAAGCTACAAATAGTACTAGCTAGTCAGTATGATAACAATATAATAATTTCAACTTGTAACGGACCGCTGCACAGTAGTGACTCGCTGTCGTAGAGAGAGGACGACTCGGAGGCGTGAGGAGGAACACAGACGAGGAACGGGAATGTAGCCGCCACGCCATGAGCCGGCGCTATCAACGATTGCCCAAGCTCTGTGATCCTCTACATATATATCAAGGCGCTATCGGGAGCATGTATAGGTGTAGGAGAAAATCCTAGCGTTCCCCTTGCTGCCTCTCAGTGCATCACCCAGGCATTGCACCTCCCCCCCCACCCCCCATGCTTCTTTGCACTTCCTGTGCCCTGGCCGTGGTGCTGCAGGTGCAGCCCTGCAATGACTTGCTCACGCCACCGCTGGCAGAAAGAGCCTCCTACGCAGAGCGAGCTGTAGAGAACTTCCCTCTCATGTCGTTATCTTGGCCACCTCTTCTACGTTGGTCAGACCGTCTTGGCAAGAGGAGGGAGTATCCCACGCTTTACCGTGACCAGGCACGTCGCCGGCCGATCCTCGACTTAATTGCGGTGTTGCCCGATTAGATCCTGCTGGGTGGATGGACCCGGTGGAGAGAGAGTGGCCTCGTTTCGACTCTCCAAGATCGCGATGACTGCGGGCATCGCCGCGATGGGCTCGTTGATCGAACGTCGCACAAATAACAAAAAATGGCCACACCAGAATCAGAATGTTTATTTATACTTGGAGGAGGAATCAGATGAGCTATAAAGCTCTATTTCACAGATGGGTAAGAACTTTACAACAAGCAACGGTACAAAAACATGATAGTAGTGCCGAGTACGAGAAAGGTAAACCAATCATCAAAACACAAACAAATAAAACTAAACCATCCCTATCCTACCACGCGAAGCCCACTGAGGTGTTAACTTATTTTTCAGAAGCGACCTGGCCACAAATGATAGCTCAGCAAAGCGGCCCATCATTTGGACCTTTATAATAGCACCAAAATAATCGAAACAATCTCAATGCGTGTTTGTAAATGCGGATCCACGCCACCACGGGGAGATAGACATGAAAACTCCAAATATACAGCAGACGTCAGGGTCGGGATCGAACCCCTGGCCTCCTGCATACCAGGCGAGGAAGATTACGTCTCCTAGCCACCGTGGTGCCCTTTGAATAAATAAATAGAGTATTTAAGTTCATGTCGGTAATGGCGCTGTCATTCTTAACAGCGCGGGTCGATTGAATCACGACGGCACTGCTGCTGCTGCTGCTGCTGGTGATTTGTTTACCTATCCCATACTTTGCACTTGTGTCGTCTTTTTTTTTATTTGTTGTTCTTCTAACTTTGCCACCAGCCCCTACTGGACATCTGTGGGAGAAAAAGAGCTTCATAGCTCATCGGATTCCTCCAGTGTATACAACATAACAAAATAGTGATTCTGTGCAGCACACAGTGGGCAGTAGTTTCACAGCAGGAGGCGATGTTGTTGCTGCTGCTGCTGTGTGATCCCCAGTCACAGTGCCCAGAATCCCTGTTGAGTAACATTAGTCCATGACGTGTGGGTTTGTCTCCCTGTCTGTCCCCAGGTGTCGCGTCCCACACATCCCAGGATTTCCGAGCCCACTTAGGTAAGTTCGAAGCGGAAGTTTATTTTTTTAAATGGCTGCCTCGCGGTAAAAAATGGCTGCCTTCCGGTTTTAAAAATGGTGGCCGCCCGGTTTACAAATGGCGTCCGGCCAGGGCTCGTGTCGTCCGCGTCTCTCCCTCCCTCTCCCCCTCTCTCTCTCTCCATAGGATCGACTGCTTCCAAGTTTTGTTCGGTGTTTGTATATTCCGCACGACGATGGCTGTAATGATTGTGCATTTTTTGTGTGAAACGAGAACAAGTCTTCCCACATTGCAATGTGCCAAGGACGTTTTATATTAACTTTTAATGAGTTTATTTAGTTGAAATGACTGTGATTAATGAGGGCTTTGTCTGTTACTGGACAACTACTGAGTGTAAACATTCACGTCTTTATCTAAAAACTAATAATTGGAAAACTTTAAAGCAAATTCTCACCAGCTCCCCATAATATAGTGTGCGATCTCCAACTCTTATTTTCCACTCTATCTCTCCGGCCGCTCGATGTTGTTTGAAGGATCGTTGCCTAAAGCGTTGCCTGCTATAGTTTTCTGTTAGAACCAGAGTGTTGACGGAAAACGTGTAGACCTTTTGTGCATGTAATCTCAGACTGCACTGCATAGTTACATGTCTTAACGAGGTCCTATAACTTACAGAGAGGAAGGGCCCTTGCCTCTCTGCACTCATTAAATACACACAGAGTGCTTGCCACAAATGAACCACAATACCTTTCTGATCTCGTCAAGGAGCATAAACCATCACGCCGACTAACAATTGGACAAAGACGGTGGTCATTGCATTGTGTGCTGTCAGATACACGTATGCGGCTGTCTGGAATGCTCTTCCAATATTAAGCCACTGGAGCTATGCACTTTTAAATCAACAAGACTGAAAACTCACTTTAGAACTGCTTGTTGTTGTGTTTAGTTTGTTGTCCTTCCCCTGCCCCTCCGCTCAGTACGGTTGGCTACGTACGGCGCGAAAGAAGTTCAACATACATACATTGCCTATAAACATGTGGCTGGTGGCGTCTCGTGACATGAAAAGACGGTGTTCTAATTAAGAAAAACCTCGTCATGTTATTGGCCTTCCCGTGAAAATGATGGAACTGCATTGCCTACCAACCGTAGGCATTTATAAACAATACGAAACACAACAACAACGCACTCAAATACTGTCCCCATGACCCTCAAGTCCACACTACACAACTTATTTTACACTGCCAAAAGTCGAGACCTACTGCTATATTGGCACAATGCACCCCAGCGTTGTGACATCGTCTCATTACAGCCACGGTCGCCTGCTTCACCACCCTGAATGGGTCTTAAACGGCGTGGCTACAATGCTCGAGGCTAATCACAATGCATGAAGGGATATCTCTCACTCGGACGCCTTCACAGGATATCTCTCACTCGGACGCCTCCCTGAGGCACAAATCAGACTGTGGTGTTGCAGCGGTTTCTAATGTGAACTGAAAATGTTATCTTCATTAGGCAATTCACGTTGAAAGAATACTTTTTTTTCTAATGAAAAAAAGTATTTTTTAATTAGAAAAAAATATTTCTTATCTCCAGCTGCTTGGTGGGGCGGCGCCCCAATGCTCCTAGTGGACGAACCGCGCCTGCATCTGGCAGTTCACCAGAAGCGGTTTCAAGCAAACCCGATTCTGCCGAAGAGACACTGTTAACTACCTCGCCCGGTATACAGGAAGTCATGGGTTCGAACCCGATGGCTGTATATTTGGAGTTTGCATCTCTCTCCCCGTAATTACGTGGACTTTTTTTTATCCGGGTCCTCCGGCTATTCCTCTCCACATTTCGAGTCAACATGTATTTCGAGCATTGATTCCTAACCTTTGCTGCAGCCTGCACCCCTTTTGTTCTCAATCGAAAAAATACATATACTGTATATAATGTTAATAAATACATAGGTTTGATAGAACAAGGTAGTTGTACTCATGCGCCCGTGCTTAATTTGTTTTTGATTATTTACTTAATCAAAAATCTGGCCATGTCTCACACCCCCAGAAAGGGCATCTCGCACCCCCACGGGGTGCGTGCACCCCAGGTTAAGAACCACTGCTTTAGAGTATTTGGCTGCTGTCATAAATTTCCACGTGATAAGCCACTCCGTCGAGCTATCATTTGTGGCCAGGTCGTGTCTAAAAAAGAGCTACGTAGCAGCTCAGTTGCCCTTTACCTGGTAAAAAATAAATAAAAATATTGAATAGTTCATTCTAAATATCGTTGAGTGACATTGGGTGACATTACATTCACGTTCAAATGTCACTATCATGCAAAAGACAACCAAAACACGAAAATCCGAAACGATAAAACCCCAAACTCATCCCGAGCGAGCGAGCGTGTGTGTGGACGTCGTCCTTCCCGTAACGTCCATACTTCACCCGCGAATGCCAACGCCGAGCCTTTGTTACGCTGACGCGCTGAGCGCCCGTGTCGTACTATTAATCTCCCCCGCGATCCTCTATCGCATTTAGCGACGTTTGTCTTTCATTAGCACCCGAGTTATAATTGGAAATTGGTTTAGCGCTCGCCGGGTTTTTACCTAATTACGAGAAAGCTATTCTGCGCGTACCTGGGGGATAGAGACGCGCAATCAGGGGGGGCGAGGAGGCTACAGCTCAATTACAGCGGCCCCTCCGAGACACGAAGGCCCCCCCCCCTCCCTCTCATCTTCACCACCCCCCAACCCCCCTTAGCGAATCTGCGACAGCTAACTCTGCGTAACTTCGCTCACGAACCCGCCGACCCGAGTTGCGTTCCCCGGTCGAACAACGGGGCGGAGTGGTGGCCGCCAGTGGTTACCGCAGTCCGCTTTGAAGCCAGGAACCTGAGTTCAAGTGTTGATCATGTCGCTCCTCAGTCACTTGCAACTCTGGATTTAGGTCCTGGGCCTCCTCTAGGTCGACTCAGCCCTAAATGAGTATCTGGTGCGGCGTGTAAAAAAACAACTACAATCAACGGTGCTTGGGAGTCAAATGCATCTGGGCGTGGTGCCGTTCCGTGGCAGGCTCTTCATAGGTGCTGCTCGCTAACAGCACTTGCCCCATCAGTATTGTGGAGGCTACACGGGGGATGATCTTTGTCTTTGTCTTCTCCGTGAAGCAGACTCTTTCCCGGTGCTGGTGCTGCTGGTCTCGGCCGTCCTGGCCGTTTGTTTCACAGCCATCATCGCCGCCTGTGGCTTCTGTAAGTGGTGTCAGCGGACCATGGTAAGAACCTCGGGGAAGCGAGAGAAGGGAAAGTCTTCGTTTAAATACATTGGTAGAAGCTTTCCCGAAAAGTTGCCGCTTTAAGCGAAAACGATTTCTCCATGAATAATGTAACGATAACGTTTAGCCAGATATGATGTACTACTACGCACACCGAACAGTGAGATGGCGGGACATATAACTGAGGCTTCGGCGCCGCATCACCGTATCATTCCTCCGACTGTATCACTCCGCTCTGCCGCGCAGCTCTAGAAAGTAGTTGTCGGCCACTTAGAAACCGCGTTATAACGGTGCACGTTTCGCGTTACAACGGGAAGTGTTCCTTAATGGAAGAACTGCACTCTCGTGAAAACTCGTTGTGTAAACACGCGTTGAGCGAGGACTTACCGTATATCTCCATATATATAAATGGCAAAGTTGTGAATATGTGTGTCTGTTCAAAATGTTTAGCGTACTTCCCGACATGCAACAAACTTGAAATTTGCCATGTGGGTACTTTCCAGACCGTACACCATGCAAAATTATAAAAATACACTTTTTGGGGGGGGGGGGGGAGCTCAATATTGCATGCTTTTTTTTGCACGGCAAGTAAGCTGTGACGTCAAATCTGTCATGTGACCCGCGCATGTGGAAGCGTAACGCATTGTAGTGTAGCGGTTAGCGCGCTGCGCTACAAACCCGGCGACCCGAGTTCGATTCCCGCTCACGGCCACCACCGGTGACGATTATTTTTACCGGTCCTGGGCCTCCTCTAGGTCGACTAAGCATCAAACGAGTAACTGCTGTGGTGTGTGAACATCGCCACTGGGGAGACAAAGGCGGCGGGCATAGTGAATCCAAGTCCCGGGCGAAGCCGGGTAGTACAGCTAGTATTAAATAAGTAAATCCTCAATTTCTTTCCAGATTGAAAAGCTACGCATGAGAGGATGTCATTACTGGTGGCTGTGACTTAACAGTCGCCATTTATCCCGCGATGGCCATGAAGTCCGTCTTTGCGAGTGCCGCTTTGGCAAAAGCAAAATTATAATAATATTATGGATCGTAGACCCAAATGTAAGCAACCGGACCACGGTTAGCAAATTAATCTTGATCTGATCGCCAAACTGATTTGAAAGATTCACCAATAATTCACTGAGCCTCCCAGCTCAAACGAGCGATGGGGATGGGGGTAGGGTTGGAGGGGCGGTGCTGATCTGCGTTGTCGGCCCTGAGGCAGCGAAATTCCACGTTCCTATTGCAGGAGGCCAGTCGCTTCGATAGGACAGCTACAGTTGTCCTCCTATAAAAAATAAGGTGCACATATTTTTTATTAATCCCTGGGTAGTATCTTAGGTCCCCACACTTGGTGCTTCGTTATCACTGTCAATGCTCCTACCATTGCCGCCACTATCTTCTAACGTTGGCCGTTAGCAACATCGCCAACTCACGTGCAGACAAATGGCCTCTTGCAGGTCGGTGCTGTGTTCACCTTGTGCCACACAGGGACAGCTGCCATTCGGGGGGCCCCCAGGCTAAAACTCTGCGCCCGTGAGGCACTTGTTACAATATGGGCACAGTGGGGAGGCGGGTTGTGTCACTGCTTAACGTGCTGTCCGATGAAACTGGCAACAGTTCCTGAGCCTCCCTTAGGTTGACTCAGCCTCAAATAAGTATCTGGGTACAATGTGTAAATATCGCCGCTTGGGAGACAAAGGCGGCTGGGTGTCGTGCTCGCTAACAGCACTTGTCGCAACAGCGTCTTTAGGCTACACCGGGGATCTTTGTCTTTTGCAGTATAAACACAAGTTGATGTTGTTGGCATTGCTTATTTTCAGACCAGGGAATACAAGGACCCTGCGAATGAAGAAGGCAGCATTGGTGAACACAGCTACGATGGCAGCGTCAAGCTGCGGAACGAAAAGAAGCTGATGAAGTACGTGAACCCCCCGTTGCATGGGTCACACACGCACACAAGCGCACACAAACGACTGACTACAGCCGCCCACTGTTTTGTCTCGCGATTCCCAGTCATCTTAACTACAGGTTCTCATGACTTTTCCCCACCTATCCTCCGTGTCTGTTGTTTTTTGAGTTGTGTTGTTTTTTTTTGCTTTGCGCCGATTTTATTCCAACTACTTAGCCCGTGGCCACATCTGCAGCACTAAATTTATTTTTACTGCTACCTGCTGCGCCGATTACTTTAAATCAACGAGGGTAGTTCAACCGCTTTAGGGTCCGACTCTGCCTCCTTAGGCCCTATCCCTTCCTGATTAGGCCTCACCCGTTATTCTCTAGGCCCCACCTTTTCCTATTTAGGCTCCGCCCCTCCCCCCATTACAGGGGGGTTGAGCTGCTTTAGGTAGTGGTGGGGGGTTGTGGCAGGGGGTGAGGCAGTTTAGGTGGGGGTTGGTGGGGACAGTTGGGGTGATGCAGCTTCACGACTACAACATAAATGGCTTTTCGAGCCGCACGATAGCGAGAGGTCGCACCACCGGCGTCACGACGCAAGGGGACGGGTCCCCTCGTCCCTTTTAGAGAGTGGCCCGCTGAAGGATCTATCATAGAACTACTTCTGAGATCCCCTGTACCAGTCACAGTTCGTATTCACAACCTATGCAGGTCGCTTGAACTCTCCCACGCGCAGAAATGTTCGTTGCATGGCAGGAAAAGCGAAAATATTTATTATCGCGGTTTTGCCAAATTAAGCATAAAAACACGAAAATTTTACGTGATCCGATTTTTACTCAATTGTTGGTGACCAGGCTGACACCATTGGCTCACTGGAATCATGAACTCGGTTCAATCGTGGGACTAAAACCTGGATTTGAACCCAGGATCTCAGTGGTCTTAGCACCGTGAACTCCGAGCCACCTGACCATCGCTCTAATCACGTGGTAATCCTTCACTCTTCTCTGTTTACATTATTCCTATCACGGTGCCAACAGAGGGATTTCTTTCATATCAAGCTTTTTTTCTCTAATTTGTCTGACTGGCTCTACGGCTTTTCGAAATAGATGTTGACATATATATATTTGGGATGTGATGCCATTGTTCTTATGAATAGAAAACGTCGGTCTGCGATATACACAATGTTTGGACAAAATCCAGCAATTATATTTAGTTGGAGATTGGTCTGAAAACCAGAAGGGACATCACCATAATTTTATTCCCACCATTCATTTGGAATCGCGTGACGTCGGATAATCTCGCTTTTGTCAGCACGCGGACGCGTACATAAATATAAATATGTAACATCGCGGATGTTATCAGAAATTCCAAAAACCGAGCCGAACTTGTTCTTAAAAATGTGAACCTGGCACTCATCCCAAATATAACCATATGTTAACATCGGATGAGCGCACACTTTCTGTGTCTATGACATTTTACTTGATTTTGACATTTTAATTGTTCCTTGTTTTTTGTCGGTCTGCAACGTTTGGACTTGCGTCACGGTTTGCTTTTGGACCCGGCCACCATTGCTAGCGAGGCTTCCTGGCCTCACTGTTGTCTCACCTGGCTACCAGTGAGTAGGCTTGCCACGATATCACTTTTTGACGGCGATACGACATCGAGCTAAACGATTATGACGCGATATCCAGCGTACCCTGAATTTGTAATCTCACTTCGCAATTTCATTGGAGTGCGCCTTTGTCTTTTTCTGTACCTACAGTGCAGTACAAATTTACAGTTCTTCATCCCTTAAGTCCGATCAACGGAAGCCTTCCCCCGGGTCTTCTAGCTACCGCGACGTTTAGAACGCACATGCTGTCAGTTAAGCGAGACATAAATAACGACGCCTCATAATTATTCCGGTAAACGTTTTGCAAACCTCTAATTTAACCGTGTAAAGGGTGATATATTTGGAGTATTATTTGCCGTGTTTGATATTTGGTAAACATTTTGTCAGGAAATAACGTGTCTGAGAAAAGAAGAATTGAGCACCGGTAACCTCCCGCGATTCTTCGGTATTTTGCTCAACGTCCGTCGTAGCGCCGTGTGGCCATATCGTGGCAAGCACTCAGAGTAAAGATCATCCGTCTCTCTGTCCAAGATTAACAAAAAAGTGGCGCTTGGTAAATTATAAACGCACGCCACACGTGGTCTTACTCGAGGTCGAGAGGTCACCACGGGCCAAAGCCGTTCACGCCGCCTTGCCATCGCATCCTCCCGTCTGTAAAACAATTCCTGCAGTACCTTGTCAAGTCAACACCCCCGGACCTCCAAGCACCACTCTTGTGGTCTCATCTCCACCAGCGTCTTGGCTTTAGGTCTTCCCCATTGGTCGTTGACCTCTGGGGTACCACTCCAAACGCCCGTCCCGGTCACCTGCCCTCCTGCTCCTTCTCTACCCAGCACACCACGTGTCCCACCCATCGCATCGCACAACCTCCAAGTCGCTCACCCCGTCCTCTACCCTGCACGTGTGTCCCACCCATTGCACAACTTCCTCTTCCCGATTACAATTGCTGTAGCATGCTAACTATTCCAAACCTCAAAACGACGCCGATGTTATCCTTCCATGAATTAAATAATTTGCGCTTTTGTATATTTACGCAATTTCTTATAGCGCGAGGTCATTTACGAATACTGCTGCGGTAGTTTGACAGAATGAAATTGCACTGAGAGGGTGCCACGGTGGCTAGGAGATGTTAACTACCTCGCCTGGCATACAGGAGGTCGTGGATTCGATCCCGACCCTGACACCTGTATATTTGGAGTTTGCATGTTCTCCCCGTGGTCGCGTGGATTTTTCTCCAGGTCCCCCGGTTTTACGCTCCACATTTAGAAACGTGTTTAGAGTATTTGGCTGCTACACATTTCCGCACGATTTGCCACTGTGTTGAGCTATCATTTGTGGCCAGGTTGCTTCTGAAAAAAGAGGGATATAGCTCAGTGGGCCTTACCTGGTAAAAAATAAATAAATTGCTTATATTCTTGGTTCTTTCGGTAAAGTCACGTAGAAGGGATAATAAAATCCACAGCAAGAATTTTTTTCTTGCTGTGGAAATCCACATCACACCTGATGACGATTGCTTGTGTTGCAGTCGAAACGTCCGTGAGAATTTTTATTGTTTTATATTTGTCTTATTTTATTATTTCCCTTCTACGTGACTTTACCGAAAGAACCAAGAATATGAATCGCTGCAGTCACGAAAGCTTTAAATAAAAAAATTGCTTATAGTTAATTTAAAAGGCAGCAGGAGGAGCGCACGGCGCTTAGAGAGAGCGGACCAGAGGTTGCGGAGAAGCCGCGTGGTCCGCGGAGAGAGACTTGGGGCAGGACACGCCGCTGGGATGCACGATAGCCGGTGGTCGAGACCAACGACAGAACGGCAGCCAGGACGTAAAACCCTCGGAGATGGAACGGTGAAATCGGTGCCCTCCGCAGGGAGCCAAATTGATGACGGCCGTTTAAAGATCCCTTCATCCAGCAGTGGATAGATCGTGGCTCACGACGACGATGATGATTATGGTGGCAGGAGGGTAATTTATTAATTTAATTACCCCGGTTGCTCTGCGTTACTGCGTAACGAGTTTGCTTTGTCACTCTGACAGGGTGCGCCGTCAATCAGAGGGGGGGTGCCCTCGCCAATGCGCTCTGTTGTGAATCATCACGGAGAGTGTTGGTTTAGGGAGCCGGGCCGAAGGTGAGACCCACGCCAGGTCCTGGAGAGGCGAAGAGTTTCACGGACTAAAACGGAGATGCAGAACAAGGCATGGGTTGACAATTGGTCTTTTTACCCTTCTATCTGGCAACAAAACTGACACCTTTTTTTACAAGGAGGCATGTTTGCATAGACCACAATACCTGCAGTCATAATGCAAACAATAAACATAACTCTGATAATGTATGCACTGTCCTTGAAGTTGATTGGTCCACACCCGAGACAGCTTTCCTTAGAGCCTAGTCTCACATGGTGTTGGACCAGATGACGCCAATTATCATATTTTTACTGGAAAATGAGGTTCCAATGGTAGGGCATGGGTTATTTATTCATTGTTTCATTTGTTTCCTTATCTATGCATTAATGCTGCACTTAATAGAGCACTCGACTTCCCACCACCATCATCATCATCATTACTTATCCAGTGTCGATAAATCATGCACCACTTTGCGTGAAGTCATCAGCACACGCTCCATGATTGAACTGACCCCCCCCCCCGCCGCCCCCACCCCCATCATAGGAACGTGGAGGCTTCACAATTGGCTTTAGGTATGTGACGCGGAGATGTTCATTTGAGACGTTACTGATTTATCCTTTAAAATCTCAAAGGAGTAAAAAAAAAATGTGTAGCCCAGCAATTACACGGTGAGCTATGAAGGCACAGCTCTGTGACAGCCGCAGGCTTAGTTTGATTCGTGTGCACGGATGATCGGTGGTCCCGTGTGGCCAGTACGCCCGGCTATATTACACGGGGAGGTGCCCTGGTGCTTACGTGAGCACAGCAGCAGCAGCAGTGACAACGAAACGAAAACGTTGCGAGAGAATGAGCACAGCAGAGGGTACATGTTGGACTTCCACTAGATGGTGGCCAGATGTTAACTACCTCGCCTGGTACAAAGGACGTGGTGGGTTCGATTCCAACCCTGATGCCTGCTGCTGCTGTATATTTGGAGTTGGCGTGTCTCTCTCTCTCCCCGTGGTCGCGTGGATTTTTCCTCCGGGTCCTCCGGTTTTTACCTTCACATTTAGAGACACGCGTTGAGAGTATTCGGCTGATGTAAATTTCTACGTGATAAGCCACTTTGTTGAGCTATCATTTGTGGCCAGGTTACTTCTGAAAGAGAGCTATATAGCTCAGTGGGCCTTACCTTGTAACATAAAAAAATATAGTTTTTAGTTTATGGATCTTTCGGCCTTGTCTTCCACACTGGTCATACGTTTTGAAAAGGATAGGATCGAACTTTAACGAGCAACAACACAACGCAGCTCCCTTTGCACAGTTACTGTTAACAGTAGAGATGATGCCTTCCTAAATTTTAGATCAATTCATTTTCACACAAAGAACATTTACCAATCAGCGGCCGGATGTGAAATTTTGAACGATGCAATTTTTTTTTATATTTCGGATTTATCTAAACATACCGACGTCACAGGAAGTGATGTCACGTCCAAGGATGTCACTTTCTTGGACATCTGGGAAAAGGTGCTTTATAGCTAATCGGATTTCTCCAGTATAAAAAAATATTCTGATTCTGCTTTTCCTGCCAGAGTCACTTTGAGACGATCTTTGGCAAAAAGACACCGCAACTGAGTTCGTCACGTAAACGATCCGAATCTCCAAGACAAGACCCAAAATTGTCCTTCAAAATCTGAAAAAAAAAATGAAATGCACATATCTCATAGTCATCGCTAGCGAGCAGTAAAATACTCGGGCGGGAATCGAACTCGTGCAACTGGGTTCGTAGCGCAACACGCTAACTGCTGCACCGGCACTTGGCACACACGCACAAATACGACACAGACACTTTAGCGCACCGAACACTAATACAGATGGATTCATGTGCAGCCTTGTAATCATCGAACAGAGTCACAAAACGCGGGCTATTAAATCGCAATGTTATTCCGCCTGCCTCCCAACGTATCACACAAGACTACCAAACGACATCTAATTTCAATTGCCGTTGCATATTTAAATGGAAGATTAATTTTCATTGACTTGTCTGCACATGTAATCGCACACGATCGCGCGCACCCACACGCACACAAAAGATAAAAGACCCCTCCCCCCCGTGTAGCCTTAGCAGATTGACAGGGGCAAGTGCTGTTAGCGAGCGGTAGCACCTATGAAGGGCCGGGCACGGCACACGAGTCGCATGGGAGGCCGCCTTTGCCTCCTTGCTGACGATGTTGCTCACAGCACCAGGTTCTCACGGCATCAGGTACTCACTTGAGGCTGAGGCGATCGAGGGAGGAGGGGGGGTTGCCCCATGGACTCGATCGCTACGAGAAACGCGTGGGGGTTTGGGGGCAGCAGGAGGCGTCGCTAGATGGGGCCCCCTTCCTCCCCCCCCCCCCTCTTGCCCCGCCCCCCCCCCCCCCCGGTGGTCGAGACTAACAGCGGAGTGGCGACCGAAGACTGGAAATGTGCCCCGAGGGGGGGGGGGGGGTTTCGTCCGCTGCAGGAGACGGAGCGGTGGGATCGGCTCGTGCGCCGAACGAGCCGTGATGGATCGGAGGGGCGACGGCTTGGTTGAGGCCTTCATCCGGCAGTGGATAGACGATGGCTGGCGATGATGATGCGTAGGGAGTTGGGAGGGGGGGGGGAGTTGTGGTGGTGGTGGCTAGGGTGCTTACACTTTGCGATAGGCGAGTCATGACGCCGACGGTGGATTGGGTAAATGAAAAAATAATGTATAAAAACACGAGCTCGAAACACGCGCATCGAATCTCGACAGCTTGTGGATGGATTTGTCACAGCAGCCGTGCACTTGATATGCGAATTATATGCAAAGGATGGTGCTGCTTGGTGTTATGCACGCAAGGCGCCGTTGAGTGTGCGGACTGGGAAGAGCGGGGGAAGGAAGGAACACTGCAGACGAGATGGGGGGGGGGGGGGGTCAAACGTTGAGGCGAACCAATTCCCGACTCCGAATTGTGACAGTCAAATCATGACCACCGTCGGATTAGGGATAGGGTCAGAGGTGTGGATGGTGTCTGTTAGCTTTGGCAGGTAGGGTTTGGAGGTTAGGGGTAGGGTTAGTGTCTGTTTGGCTCGCGTGGTTAGGGTTATGGCTTTACATTGTGTGCACGTTGAGCTTCTTTCGCACCGTCCATAGCCAACCGTGCTCATCGGAGGTGCGGGAGAAGGACAACGATCTAAACACAAAGCGCAATGTGGTTAGGGTAGGGTCTGATTGGCTAGAGTGGTTAGGGATAGGGTCAAGGCTGGTATCTGATTGGTTAGTGTGGTCAGGGGTAGGCTTAGGGCTGGTGTCCGATTGGCTCGAGTGGTTCGAGATAGGGTTAGGGCTGGTATCCGATTGGCTAGAGTGGTTAGGGGTAGGCTTAGGGCTGGTATCCGATTGGCTAGAGTGGTTCGAGATAGGGTTAGGGCTGGTATCCGATTGGCTAGAGTGGTTCGAGATAGGGTTAGGGCTGGTATCCGATTGGCTAGAGTGGTCAGGGGTAGGCTTAGGCCTCGTGTCTGATTGGCTAGTGCGCCGCCCCTTCTATTACCCAGGGGGATGGAGCAGTGGCGCAGTGGTTAGCGCACAGCGCCGTGGGCCAGACCGGCCACGGCTAACATCAGTCGCTCGTGATATCCGAACAAATTTTGCCCCCCTCCCCTTCACCAACACACACTGACCAGCGTGGTGAAGTTTGGTCATGCAACCCCCCCCCCCCCCCCCCCCCCACGGTAGACATGGCTTGGGGAGGCCTCCATCCGGCAGTGGATTTGTAAAGGGCTGCACGTTTATCTCTCCGTTGTTTGTTCGCTTTCGATGTTTATATTTTGACGTTCGCAACACCCCCGTGTTGGTGAGACATTCGATTCCGTGGCATGGTCACCCAAGTCTGTCGTCGTTTTATCCACTGCTGGATTAACAAGAGGCTCCCCACGCCGTCGCCATCGCTCGATCCCACTCACGAGCCGAGCTCCTCCATCGCTCCATCTCCGCAGTGGCCGCTCTCGGGTGCACTCTCGGGTGCACTCTCGCTCGCTCGCTCGCTCACTCCTCCTCGTCACTTTCCTTCGTTCCCTCGTGCTCCTCCCTTCGCTTTCCTTCCCCCCACGGCCTCCTCTGCCCACTTACTTTTCTCGGCAGCCGATACGGTGGTGGTGGTGGTGCTGGTGGTGGTTGTGGTGGTGCTGATGGTGGTTCTGGGCTCATGTTTATTTTTCTTCCCGCGGCATTCATAGCTCCGAAAGCCACAATTTTCAGCTTCGTCATCATCATCATCATCGTCGTCATCATCAGCGTCGTTATCATCAGCGTCGTCATCATCACTGCTTAATTTCAGCACCCAGCCACACCCATCCTGGTACAGAAAACTCCTACATACGTTCGTCAATAATAAGTGTGTCTGGCCGAAAAAATTCGATATAATAGACGACGTTTCAGACAATGGGCCTTCTTCAAAGCACATAGCTCATGCTACGAACAGAGTTTTATTGCAAACGAGATGTTTCAACTCACGGGATATTCCACGTGAAACATATATTTTTATATATAAATAATAAGTCACACATTTCGTAAACATTGCACATAGGCTGCTCAAAAATTAATGACCCGATAATATAGCTCTTTTTCACAGATGTCCAGTCGTACTCTAGTGGTAGTGCCTTATGCCAATAATCTCTCCTCTACTCCCAGCCGAGCCTGTAGCAGCGTTCCGGAAAGAAAAAAATGAAACAACTCGCGTGAGAAATAAATCCCTGCTAATTGTCATCATCATCATCACCATCAGACGATAACTGCCGACAGAGGTCGGCTGTTAGCCAACAAGGTGAGGGGTTGGATGGCCAAATTGGACGCCCTTATCTTCCTGGCACCGCATTTGGGGTGTCTCTAATTCGCTCCGGAGATAAGTCCAATAGGAAGTGGAAGCAACGCTGTGGTGTCGTTATATTGTAGATAAGCGCAGGAGAGCCCGGTAGGAGACGGGAGAGAGATTCTACACGGTGGGGGGGGGGGGGGGGGTAATGCTTCTTCTTGCTTGAAGGCCGAGCGGTGCTGTTCACTACGACTAATTCCCAGCGGCCACTACGACGCCAGCCCCCCCCCCGCAGTGGTGGTGACGGCACAGCGGCCGGAGCGCTGCACTTGCCGATGGTGGCGCGTGGGTTCAACTCCCGGTCGTCAGCCCCATCATGAGCCCCATCATGAGCCACATCATCATCAGTCCCATCATCATCAGCCCCAGCATGAGCCCCATCATGAGTCCCATCATCATCGGCCCCATCATCAGTCCCATCATCATCAGTCCCATCATCATCAGCCCCAGCATGAGCCCCATCATCAGCCCCATCATCAGCCTCATAATCATTCTCATCGTCGTCATCATCCTCATCATTATCCTCATCATCGTCGTCGTCATCATCGTCATCATCATACCTTTGGGAGGGGGTGGCAGGGGGTCAACAAAATGACCACCCAGCAATTTGCGACTTTCCCGGCAAGTCAACGGTAGTTGCATGCATAGGCAGTCTGCCGCCCTGCCATAGCAACGTGGAATGTCCACTACTGGCTCAGGGGAAGGAGGGGGGAGGGCACCACCGGCGCTTTGCGACGGCAGTGGAGTCGGCGTTCGCGTGGCGGTGGCGAACGCCTCGCCGGGTCAATTATTTCTACTCAGCTGTTTGAAGGAAATGACATTACTCACTGTCTTTTGTTTCCTTTCTTGTTGTCTGTGGTTTTTTCTCCTCATTCTCTTCTCTTCCTTTTGTTTTCCCTTTTTGCTCGTTTCCTTTTTGTGTCTCCATAGTGATCTTGATAAAGATTTTTGGAATAACAATGACACTATGGCCCATCAGAAATGGAGCTCCTACCCTCCAAAGGAATTCATCCTAAACGTGTCTCCATACGCTCCGTACGGTGACCCACGACTCTCCCTAAAGTGAGTGACTCTCCCCTCCAACCTCCAAGTCCAGTCTTGGATTCACGCTAACTTGGCAGCAACCAAATTGTCAGGTCGACCAAAATTTAACGCCCGGGAGTTGAACGAAAACCACCCATCCTCCCCCCCCTCCTACCCCCCCCCCCTCCCCAAAAAAATGCGCTATTAATTTATAATCTTTCCGCGAAATTGAAATTGGCGCGGTGCTTTCCATTGATATATTTTGAGGGTGGGGGGGGGGCATGGGGAGCGGTGTGGGGGGCAATTGTGGCGGGCGACGCTCGGGCAGAAGCAATCCAGGCTTAGTAGGGTCTCAAGGAGAACACGGGGGGGGGGGGGGGGCGGCGGGGGTGACCCATCAGATTAATGACAAAAAATAAGGGGGTGCACGAAATCGAACTCAGATCCCGGCAAAATATACAATCGGTTCTAGGAACACGACTCAAATAATATGAACCCGCAATCAGGCTGTCCGTAGCTTAATTATTTCTCGCAGCAGTGATGTAATTAATCTTTCGTAGCTTGTTCATTAGGTAATGATCGTAAGCCACGTGACACAAGCCCACAAATTGATTTCTGCCTCCGATGGGCTGGCACCACCACTCGGCTACGGCTGTCGGGATAACGTCCACCGTTAGACTCCGCACGTCTCGATCTTTAGGAGGTCATTGTTGTCCGTCGATACCCACGCATGATAAAAAAAAATGGCGGACAACGGCGGACATCGGAAAACAAACTCTCGTGAGATTCCCCGCAAATACGATCACACGCGCCAGGGATTCAAATGCAGCCGGATCGGAAGGCTCCTTGACGCGACAGCTGAGCTGCGGTCACCGCCTGACGACGCTGGGAGTGATCTCCAGCGAAACGTCGGACAAAATTTGTCAAGATTTTCCTTGGGCTTTTCAAAATTCCACCTCCGGTTTTGCTGAAATGCCAAACCAATCGGCACGTTTGTTATCTGTCGGGTGGCGAAGGGATTCGGTGAGAAAACGACCCAAAAGAAAATCGAACGATTAATTGATTTGGCAATCCATGAAATATAACCGCAACCGGTGCACCACATCCATTTTGACCATTCACTATGGTTGGTAACTACCGACGGTTTGTTAAAGCGAGCTCGAAAAACGTTGACCGAAGCAAAAAAAGAGATACCAAACAAAAAGCACTCTCGCCAATTACAAAAAAATATATCAGCAAGAAAGTAATGCCTGCAACACGGGGAAATTGGAGAAGCGATTACTCTAAAAAGTTAAATTTAACACGCGTACCATCTGCGGCAAGAAATCTAATAGGGAGTAAATATTCTCTGAATGCAGGAACAACAAAGATTTCCTGGCAAGGCATAACTTTAAAGCCTCTCTGCACTCAGATCGTTGATATCCGTGCCACGCACACGGGGAAGGACACAGTGTAATGCTCGCACGTCAAAATGATTTTCACTATTTCAGAATTGCTTATAAACTGCAGACGTTACTCAAATTTGCCGATAAGTTGCAAGCGCCATGCGTGCCCCCGTGCCAGAGTTTGAGTTGTTAAAGTGTCATAAAATGTAAATATTGTCTTATGATTATTACTACACCGTCATAACGTAAGAGAGAACAAACTGTAAGCAAATCGGGGCATCGTTTAATAAATTGTCCCAAAAATGTATTTTGAGAGAAAATAGCACAACTAAATTTTTTGTTACAGCCTCGGGAGAAAAAAAAATACGATCGTGGGTTAGCGACAGAGCGAATGAATAATGTAGATGTGGCCGCGAAGCAAACTTTAAGCGTTGGGTAATTTTTTTGCAAATCATCTCGGCGTAAGTTTTAACGCTCTCGCATTGCTCGCCGCAACACTCCTCCAAAGCGTCTGCTCTGGTCGCGGAAGAGTAGGCCAAAGGAAACCCGTTTAAAAGGAGCTCTCTCCAGGGGCGGCCTGTGAATGGAGGTCGCTTCCTCCAGCAGTGGCGTGAGCGACCACTTTAAGGGCTGCGCCTTTCACTTCAACTCACCGCAGCAGCAGCAACAACCATAAACAGAATCAGAATATGTATTCATACTGGAGAAATCCGATGAGCTACAAAGCTTTTTTTCACACATGTACAGTAACAACAACAACAACCACAATGCCACTCTCCCCTTTTTTTGCCGCAATCGATGGGCTGGTTACCGATGGCACTCCAGCAATGCTGACGATGCAGGCCTTCGCGCAATTTATATTTCATGCTCTTTGGTTCTTTCGGTAAAGTCACGTAGGTAGACAAATAAAACAAAATTAAAAATGATATATCACGACGTTTCGATCGCAACACAAGCGGTCGTCTTCTGGCGGGAAAAAATAATCCAACAGTGGGAAAAATAATCCGGCAAAACGTCGTGATATATATATTTTTTCTACCTACGTGACTTTACCGAAAGAACCAAAGAGTATGGATTCCTGCAGTCACGAAAGCTTCAAATCAATTTAGATTTCGCCGACAAAGAACGAGAAAGCGAATCGCTTGTTCGCGACGATTCGCCGCCGTTGAAAGGCAAAGGCACAGCGAGAGAGAGAGAGGCGGCGTTGCATAGCGCGACGCACCGTCACCGCACGCAACGCCAGGCTGCGAAAATTGCACGCAGCGGAAATTAATAGTATTTCTTTGCAGGCGCCGAATAGTATTTATATTTAGGAACAAATCTACACGCTATTTTGGCAAGGCTGCGGATATCGTTTCGCTATGCCGGTGCATCTGATAGAATTCCTGAAACTCGCCCCGGGACGTTTGCAAAGATAATAAGTATGGATCTCAAGTGTCAGTTTTGGTGAATTCGGCGGCACAGAGGCCACGTCCGTGTATATTTTACGAGGTTGGGAATCTGTCGGGGATAAGGATTCTCAACAGCGAGCGAGACCTCGGGTGAACACAGAGAGCAAACACGCGAAACAAAACACCGCCACGAAATGCAATTCGGTTAGAGGTGCGAAATAAAACGAAAAACCCACATCCGGGGCAAAACACACGGAGCGCAAATAAGCAGAAGCCGTGCCCTGCACCCCGAGGGTTGTTGTCGCGCGGTGCTAGGCACGACGCCCGACGTTTCGCTGGTTGGCTTCTTCAGGAACTCGATGAATGAGCTCCCGCCCGGCGTGCCGAGCGCGAAACGTCGGACGTCGTGCGGGGCAACGCGACCCGAAAAAAGGCATCGGAGCAACTCTGACCGCGATTCCGTTACCGTTACTAAATCCTGCCGTTGCTGAATCGATAAACGCAATTAATGGACTGCTCTTCGTGAATCCACTGCTGGATGAAGACCTCCCCCCTCCCCGGTTAATTGACCATCTTTGGCTCTCCTGGTCAGTACAGCTCGCCGGTAACAGAGAGGAGGGGAGGTGGTTTGGGTGTAGGGTCGTCCCCTGTAGATATCGCTCGCCCCCCCCCCCCATCCCCTCCCCGATGTCAGCTGGCCGTGGCCGGGAAACGAACCCGGACAGCCGGGTTCGCAGCGCCGCTGCCACGCCGCTCCACCCCCCCCCCACCACCCGTACCGGCCTTTAGGAGGTGGAAACAACAACCACCGTTACATATCTGCTGCCAGGTTCGAATGATTCCAAGCGTGCTGTATTCTAAAATAGGTCGCTAGACACCGGGCCACACAGTCTTTAACTCTTCACCCTTTTGACCTTTTTTTTGACGCGGAAAAAAAAAAAACCCGTGCGCGTGAACTGAATGAATAACCTGAACCTGTTGTTCTCCTTGTGCGTCTCCGTGCCCGAGCAATTTCACTGTCGCCCAGCTTCTCCTTCGGCCAACCAAACAAATGTCACCTTTTTTGGTTTTCGTAAGCGTGTCTAACCATGTGCTCGACAGCGCCGTGAGCCCTTGCCCCGCCCGTTGCACCCGACGGCTCGCCGCGTCGTCTTCGCGTCGTCTTCGCGTGTGCGGCTCCGTTTCACGTGGAAGCACGCGCACGCTCCCACGTCGTTTCTGAACACGCGTGATGCTGGCGAGGCTGCGTTGGCCGTGCGGTCGCGCGCGCAGGAATAGCGCGCGCTCGGCGCGTAGGCCAGTGACTGCGCTGTGGTGGCCTTGAGATGCAAAATAGTTTTTCTATATATTTCAAACATTGTTAACGTTTACGGCAATGGCTCTTCTCCATAGCAGACAGAGAGGCCAGAGAAACGGAGTGAATAATCGATGCGAACTGCACAGCTATGGACCATTTACACCATGGGGCCCTGATAACATGTTTAAAAGTATTTTCTGATTACTCGTTTTTAGAGTAAAAAAAATTATGCATAAAACTGATTCGTATTAGAAGTAAATTAATAAAATCTTGGTGACACATTGCATTCTGGGTAAACACGTTGCAGTGTGGTGCCCCCCGACAAAGCGGCGCTTATCAACATCCAAACCCACGCTGCGGTCTCGATGTCGATCAGCCAACAGATAACGGAGAGGTCCGTACCTCAAATTACACGTGTTCACATCCAATCGCTCAACAGGATTGAGTGCCCCGCTAAATTCACTTAATAAAATAAACTCTCGCCTCCACAGCGTTATCTAGCGGCGTTATCTAAAGCAGCGGAGTGCACGGCATGTCAGCAGCGCTTGTTTAAAAAAGACAAGACGCAACAGTGCGGACCGCTTTGGACATGTTTGGAGCTCTTCGGCAGTCAGATTGTGTTAAACAGTTCACTGCCTGGGTCGCCAGGATGTTATTGGTGAGTTCACTGGGCCCCTTACACAACGGGTGACAGACAGCGCCGTTTGGGACATCTCAAATTGCGCTGATGAACTCCAAAGAAATGTGTCCCGTCTGATCCAGAGAGGCGGATGGAGGGATGGTTAAATCAAATTATCCGCGTTGAACTCGCCCATGACGCTCCACAGCAACGCGCTACGTTTTATTTTCCTCTCTCTTTTACGAACTTGCTCCATATTTTACCGTAGAATTTGAAATTGGAAAAAGGCAGTTGAGGGCCGGTTTTGGCCCCATTGGTGCGTCAGGGCCCGCAATAACTGGAGGCCA